TTCTAAGGATGTCTCAGGCGAGGCGTTGGTTTCAGCACTCCCAGGGGGGGGGGGGGCGACAGGGTCAGGACATTCCAGAATTCGCGCCCAGATTGTGGGGATGTCTCAGGCGGTTTGCCTGTTTCGGTGCCCAACATCTCTTGCTTCCTGAGCTGTTTCTGAGGATGCCTCAGGCGAAGCCCTGATTTCAGCACTCCCAGGGGGGGGGGAGGGGGGGGGCATTCCAGGATTCGCGCCCAGATGGTGGTGATGTCTCAGGCAGTTTGCCTGTTTTCGGTGCCCAACATCTCTTGCTGTCGGCGCCGGTTCTAAGGATGTCGCAGGCGATGCGCTGGTTTCAGCACTCCCAAGGAGGGGGGGGGGGGCGGCAGGGGTCAGGACACTCCAGGATTCGCGCATAGATTGTGGGGATGTCTCAGGCGGTTTGCCTGTGTGGGTGCCCACCTAACGCCCCAGTGGCTTCGCTGACATTCAGATATTGAAAAAGGACAACGTCGTCGACCGAAGCATGCAGATGCACATTTGGGGATCTTCGTGTCGAGTAATTACCATTGGTAACATATGTATAATGGTGATGTTGATTATGATGATGAGGAGGAGGAGGATGCTGATGGTGATGGTGGTGATGATGATGATGCTGATGGTGATGATGAGGATGGTGATGGTGACGGTGATTGTCATGATGATGATGGTGATGTTGTTGTTGCTGATGATGGTGATGATGGTGATGGCGAGGAGAAGGAGGAGGAGGAGGGATAAAACCATCCGACTGTAGAAGGAAGGGGGGAGGGAAGGGAAAGGGAGAGGGGGGAAGACGAGCTGGGTGCGCTCGCGCCTCATCTGAGATCCTGTCCTTCCCTTCCATCCCTTCCCATTGCGCTGAGCTTTCATGATCCGTGGACGCTTGTCATAGCCGACCTGCGACTCCCACCAAAAGACCACTCTGTGAGATGCGCAATCGGAGAAAGAAGCGGAGCAGAGTGCACAAAAGGAAGAGGTGGCGGGTGAGCAGGAGGATGGACGTGATGAAAAGGACGAGGACGAACCGCAGCAGCAACAGCAGCAGAAATTCAAGCGGAAAAAAAGGGAAGGAGGGGAGGACCAGGGGAAAGCGGAGGAGGGGAAATGAGGGGGGGGACAACAAGGACGAACGAGTCGGAGTCCGAAAGGTGGCCCTCGCTGGGGCGAGGCGAACGGCAGCAGCAGGAACTGAAGCGGAAGGAGTGGAAGGAGCGGGAGGAAAAGGAGGGCCACGGGGGGAGGCGGGGAGGGGAAACGAGAGGGTGACCACAGTGAAGCTGGAGTCGGATCCAGAACAGCGGCCCGCGCTGGGGCCAGAGCGCCAGTCTGAACGACGGGAGGACAGCGCTGATCCGAAAATGAGGCCCACGCTTCAGCGGGAGCTCCATTCTGAAACACCGAACATACCCGGATTGTCAAAGACCAGAAAAACTAATGTTCGAAAGCCAGCGTGTAAAAAACACGCGGGTTGGGGGCGGGCCAGTTGTTGGTGATCTTCGGGAGGGAAAGAGGAGAGACGTACTCATATCGTGTAAGTGTGGAGGAGGAGGAGGAGGAGAAAAGAACACACATAGGGAGAGGGAGAGGGAAAGGAGAAGAGGAGGAGAAGGAGGAGAAGGAGCAGCAGCAGCAGCAGGAGGATGATGAGGAGGAGGTGGAGGAAGAGGAGGCAAGGAGAAGGAGGAAGCGCAGGGCGGGGCAGACGTCTTCAGCTCCTCCCTCTACTCCTCATCCTCCTCTTCCTCCAGCTCCGTCTGCTCATCCTCCTCCCGCTTATTTGTTCCACTATGACTACATGTTCCGTTTCATTCAGCGTCTCTCCGTGCTTGTCGTTGTCGTCGTCTTGTTCCATCCCCGCCCAGCCTCCCCATCGTCTTCTTACTCTTCGGCTTCCCCTTTTTCTCAATATGTGCACGCCTTATCGTCCCAGTGTTGCTCGTCCTGGTTCTGCTCTGCTCCTGCCGCTGGTGGTCCCCTCTCTGCCCTCCTCCTCCGCCTCCTCCTCCCTCTTCCTCATCCTCCTTCTCCGAGTGGTCATCGGTAAAGTAAGCTGCAGGGGGGCGCGCCACTCCGAGTTCGCGCACCTGCGTGCCACGCAGAACAGGGTCGATGCATGCGTGCGCAGGGGTGCACTTGAGGCGTGTACGCGCAGTAGCCCGCAACCCACAGCGCTACCCAGGGCAGGATCGAAGACGCTTTTACTGAACTCAGCAGCTTCGCGGTTGCCGGGCCGATCGACAAGAAAGAGAAGCAAGTACCCAGAGCCAATTCGCGGAACCTTGAACCTTGAACGATGGAAGTAAGGAGCGCACACCAAGAGATCGTGTGGAATGAGGTTGTGGTTTCACAGCAAATTACGTCTGCCGTCGTGGTTGCGAGGTACCCTTCCCACTCCAGAGGGTTGCGAGGCCGATTGATTAGGTGCAAAATCGAGCGAGGACCCCTGTGCCTGACCATCCTCAGCACGTGCTTCCATCTGTGTCCTGGACGGAAGGAGGCCATCGCAAAATACTGCAAGTGCGGTGAGTTCATTTGGGAATGGTTGGCGCAGACGATGGACAGGCTTGGCAATAGGTGGACACTAACCTTGCCCATCGATCCCAACGCAGAGTGCACGGAGCCTTGTGACGGAAACAGAGAGAGAGAGAGGGAGCACGGGCATGCGGTGCAGGTCTTGTTGCCGATCCCCATGTCGCAAGGTCTGTCCCTGACCAACACCGTGTGGGACGCTGGGTACTCTTTCGTCGGATCGCCGAGCACGGCCGAGACCATAGACTACATCGGCACCCTTGTAATTCTACACTACCCAGTTCGATGATGCAATCTTCTTAGGAGCAGCATGCGACGACTCCAGCCTCGCGAGCTAGGACGATGACGGGACCACCGAACGCCTGGTGTTGAATTCCAGCTAGCAACAGGCAGCATCCTCCAGCAAGAGCCCGACCATATTCGCATCGAGCCCTGTGCCGCAAGTGTTTGGTTTCAGCGAGGCACAAATAGAAGGCAGATTATGGAAGTTGCACATCTGGGGTGCATGCTCGCAACTAGTGGTATAAAGTATTCAGCAAGTTGAAGAGGTCTTGGTAGAATAGGCGAACATCCGAAGTACCTCAGCTCTCAAAGCAGGCGCATTGTCCACATGCGCGCGGCCAACCCGCTACACGGAGAGCCACACGCAGCAGGCGGAGGAGCTGTATGTTCCCTTGCGGCAGGTGCGCTAATGTTGAGACCAGCTTGCCGTGGCGTACCAAGAGGAGGGCGACGCGCAGCTGATGAAGCTTACGACTGGTATGGGTAACAGTGTCGTCTCTCTCGGCGCAAGCAGCGCCACTGTGTTCATGTTCGATAGGAGAGGGTGTTGACGTACAGCCAGGTTTGACAACAAAAGATGCGCGATAAGTTGGTAAGTTGGCAGCGTTGCTGGACTCATTGCGCACAAATGACATAGACCTCGTAGAAAGAAATCGCCAGCAGCTTACCACCAGCGACAGACCATGAGTGGACATAGCGAACTGATAATGTGGGAATTGAGGGCGGCGTTTCAGTATTTGGCACTGACGAGGCGAGGCAGGTCCAAGCAGCTTCCGAACTGCTGCCGTAAAAACAAGGGGCGTGCGCATCTGAGGCGCCCAAGGATTGGTTGGATGCTCCTTTCTCCAACCATCCTGTGGTGTTGGGACCTCGCTTTGAATCAGCAGCGCCCTGCATCATTCCTTCCCGCTGGGTGGGTACAGCAAAGATTGGTAGGTCTATTTGGGCCTGCTCCACTGCTGGCCGCGGCCCTTTGCAAGGGATGGGGCGACGAACAGACCCAGGTCTCATAACGCTGCGACAAAGATGACGTGGCGAATTGCCGAGGCGAGCAGCTTCCTGATAATTCTCGGGTGGTCGAGTGTTTCAACGACGGGGCGAGGCCGTTGGAGAGCTATGGTCTCGAAGATTTAGTGGCTGAAGGATTGGAAGAGTCTCTCATGCTGCATGCCTGTGGAAACAGGGCGAACTCTTTCACGGGCGTCGCGCGGTGCGAATGGCAGTGCAATCTGGAATGGAATGAAGGGGTGGCGGTGGCGGCAGTTGCGGGGGGGGGGAATTCAACGCATGGGGGCACGCGAAGAGTGAATACACCGAGAACCTCGCCACATGAAAAGCCCGCGGCTGACGATCTGCTGACGAAGAGGGGAACACTCGGTAAGCAGCATCGTGGACAAACTGTTTCGCATGTGTCGCGCGTGGGTCCAATTTACCGCCCAACGATTACGCCGAAAGACGCATACACGACATCATAAAAGCAGGAGTGCTCAAGGTAGATCAGGGGCAAATGCGTGGAGACATGATTGGGCCACACGTGTTTGGCTGCCTTTCCTGCAACCGCGTTTCGGAACACCTCCCCTCACTGTGCCGCCATATTTTGCACGAGCAGTGCAGGATCATATCGAATTACACGTCTTGGATGTTCAATCCCAGGTAATCTCCCAGTCTGTGCAACACCCACTCGGAGCACCAAGATCGTGACCGCGGAGAACGCGACCAGATCTTCAGAGGAATCACTGTCGATCAAAAATCAAGGTTGGCTCCGAGGGGCACTGGACAGGCAGGTGAGTGACAAGCGCAAGTATGCATTCTTCGATGAGTCTACACTGTAGCAAAGGTAAGACTGGGCTTGCGCCACCACCTCCTTCCGCCGCTTGTTCGCTGTGTTGGGCGACGGCCGAGGGGATCGGGTGAGGCGTGCGCACTTCCACATGCGGGTGTAGATCCAGCTTTCATCGTCGCAGCCCAGAGCACATGCTTTGTTTTGTCCTAATGATGCCAGTTTGAGTGGGACTGAAAGAACGGAGCGCTTCCTCACCCGTGTCATCCCTCTTCCTGTCGTCTTCCTCCTCCTCCTCCTCCTCCTCCTCCTCCTCCTGCCCCCCTCTCCTCTGTAATCCTCCGTGGCGCGAGGCAGCAGCCCCCAGATCCGTGGGGCGGCTCCAGAGGCGCCCAGCGCCACGCGCCGGCGGCGGTGCGCATGTTCGATCGTTACCGTTGGGCTCAGTTCGTGCGTTGCGGTAGGGGCCCTGTCGCCGATGATGAATCTAAGGGTTGAGCTTGGTCCGCCCGCGGGAGGTTGGCAGAAGCCGGCGGGAGTAGAACGAGGGTGGCTCTGCCAGCGGGAGGTTGACGGCTGGTGGGAGCCGGCGGAAGTGAAGGCATCATTTGGAGAGAGAGGTCAAAGTTGGTGTTCTCAGAGTTTCGGAGTCGGCCATGAGTCCACGGCTCGTTCTTTTGAAATCCTTGAGGGACCTTCACCGCCACTGCGTAACCCCAGACCAGACGCAGGGGGGTTAGGACGACGAGGGGATACAGGAGATTCTTGGCAGGTGTCGGATGTTGTTCGTGAGTGTGCTTGTGTTTTATGCACCTTCCTGACTAATGCGTTCGGGCGTTCCTACGTGCTTTCGAACTTTTACACATGCTTCTGGGAGGCATGCGCGTGCTGACGACAAGGTTCCATTGTACAGCACTGCTGGGGCCTCCAGACGAAGTCACATGGCTGCTCCGTGGAAGACGCAGGTCCCTTCTGCCCAACGACAGCCAGGCTTGTTGCAGAGGATCGCAGATTACCATTGCCTTCTGATGTGGTGCGCTGTCGCCGCGTCGCGTATGACAGCACTCAGTGGAATGCTGGCCGACGTGTGGTTGGCATGTTTCAGGATTTGGGTAAGAGGAGGGAGGATGGCATGGAAATGTGCGAGGAGAAAGGAGGGAGGAGAGGAGGAGAGGGAGGAGGAGGAGGATGAGGAGGAGGAGGAGGAGGAGGAGGAGGAGGAGGAGGAGGAGGAGGAGGAGGAGGAGGAGGGAGGAGGGAGGTGGAGAAGGAGAAAGAGGATGGGCAGGGGGAGGTGGATGTAGGAGAAATGCATGGGGGTGGGAGAGGGAGGCAGCAGGAGGGATTTGGACGAGGAGCAGGAGCAGCAGGAGAAGGCGAAGGAATTGCAGGAGCAGGGCGAGGATGAGCAAAAGGACAAGGAGCAGGAGGAGGATGAGGCTGAGGAGAAGATCAGCGCGAGGGGTAGCAGGAAAGAGGAGGCTTGAGTAGGAGATCGGATTGAGGAGCCTGGAGGGCGGAGGGAGCAAAGAGGAGGGAGGTGAAACGATAGAGGATAGAGGAGGGACGTAGGAGGAAGAAGGAGGAGAGAGGTAGCAGAAGGGAGAGGGAGGATACAGTAGTCATGGCGAAGAAGGAACGAGGGATAACTTCTGAGTAATATAGGACAGGGAAGGTGCGGGGAAGGGGGGGAAGAGGGTGAGGATCATAAGGGAAGCGTGAGGAGGGAAAGGCGGATATTCGGTTATCTTCTCCTTGATGCGAGTTCCATCGCAGGGTCAGGGTCCACATGCGGTGGCTGGCCTGTCCTTCTACTCCCCCGTGCCATCCTTGAAAACAGCACCTCTCGTTCACCACGTCCGTGCCTGGTGTACGTGTGTACTTGCCTGCTGTTTGGCTCAAGTGGTTCGACGGAGATGGCAGGCACGGCGCAAATCAGCAACGCCCGAACGAGTGCCGCAGCCAAAGCTGCAGCAAATGTTGCGAAGGATGCGGCGGTGGTGGGTGGTCAAAAGTTGAAAGATGGGTTCCACGGGGTGCGCCTGTACGTGCAAACTAATCCGGACGTGATCCGGTTCGTGGCCTTGTGCGCAGCGACCTCCCTGCTAGCAGGCTCTGTCCTGGGCCTATTCAACGTCCTCAAGCTTGCACGGAATCCGCTGGAGTATCTGTTTTGTTTCTATAACGTCACGTTTGCTGCTCTGATAGTGGCCCTCGAAGGTAAGCCCGAGTGGCACCAGCAGTTCGAGAGTATCCAGCTCCAGCTCTTCCAGTCAGCTGCGTTTCTCGCCTCTCGGTCTGGGAGGGCGTTCTTTTACTTCTACGTCGGATCCATTACGCTTGGCATGCTGCCAGATGCTGGCCTTTGGAGGCCGCTTCACGGCGCCATCGGCATCGCTCTTTGCTCCGTCGGCGCCGTGATGCTCTGCATTCGCTGGGGCGCCTGCGGCAACGATGGACATAAGGAGTTCGTCGACGAGGAGGAAGAGGTGGCAGGCCACCCCAAGGACAGTTCGGCCAGCTCGACGTCTGGATCGGAAGCTGAGTGATGCACATCCAGCGCTGAGCAGTGCAGTGCTTCTTTCCTCGATTTACGGGCTTCCCGAGGCATGCTAAGCGCCACCGGCCAGCTTCACACGTACGTTGTGACGCAAGGGAAAGACAACATAACAAAAAATGTACTTGCCTGCTGTACACGGTATTGCTATCATGTTATTCGATTTGGAACTCTACATTCGTGCGCAGGTGCCTGTCTTCCCATACATTCATTTCCACCTCCGAGGCGAAGGAGAAACATTGGCCGCGTCGGTGCAGTTATTGAACTGCGCAGGTCGGGTATTACCATGCGTTTGTCGTTGGATGTTTCCTCACTGGCCTCCCACTCCTGTTGATCCCCCCCAATCTGCCTCTATCTTTTCCCCTCCCCCCACCATCGGCATCCCTCCTCTGTTTCATGTCCCTCGTGCTCCTCCTCATCCTCCCCACGTCTCCTGGCTCTCCATCCATTCCTCCTACCTGCCTCCTCCCTCCATACTCCCTCGCCAGATCCCCGACGTCGTGATTCTGTCACAACGTCGACCCCCAGAGGTCTGGACCCCTTCCCTGGGACTGGTTTGTCATCCTGAGTCGGCTTTTGACGGTCCCGAGGAGGCCAGTGAGGGCCTCCAGAGGCCGAAGACAGTGAAAAAACAACTTGCCGCCGTGATTTTTGTCGCAACGCGAGGGCGTCGGGGTCCTCCTCTTGCTCCCCCCATCCCTCCTCCCGCGTCCACCCCCCCCCGCCCGGCGCCGTCGTGGCTCGAGCGGCGCCCCGGGCAGCCCCGCCCTGCAGCGGCCTCCGCCTCCGCCCCGCCAGCTGGGAGGCCCCGTTGCCGCCGCGCCGCAGCCATGGCCCCCGGCGGGTCGCCTCAGGATTGGTCGCGGCCGAGCCGCGAAGCCCCGCCCCGCCCCCGGCGTTGCACACAGGGGGTCCTCCTCCTCCTCCTCCTCCTCCTCCTCCTCCTCCTCCTCCTCCTCTTCCTCCTCCTCCTCCTCGTCCTCCTCCTCGTCCTCCTCCTCCTCTCGCCTTCTCTCGCCTCTTCTCGCTTTCTCTCGCCTCCTCCTCCTCCTCCTCCTCCTCCTCCTCTCCTCCTCCTCCTCCTCCTCCTCCTCCTCCTCCTCCTCCTCCTCCTCCTCCTCCTCCTCCTCCTCCTCCCTCCTCCTCCTCCTCCTCCTCCTCCTCCTCCTCCCCCTCCTCCTCCTCCTTCTCCCCCTCCCCCCTCCTTCCCCTTCTTCTCGTCCTCCTTTTCCTCCTCCTCCTCCTCCTCCTCCTCCTCCTCCTCCTCCTCCTCGAGGGATGCGCGGCGGGTGCGCGCCGCGCTGACCTGGCGGCGACCCCAGCGAGGGCATTCAGGGTTGAAGGCCGCCAGTGGCCTGGAGTGGCCCGATGTCGAGCGATCCCGTGCTGTCGGACGGCCGCGATCGTTCAAGGATCAGCAGGCCGCCGGCGTCATCGCGACGTGAGCCTGCCGTTGGCGTACACGATATGGGTTCGTAGGCCTCTGAGCCTTCGGGGGGGTCATCGTCGACGCGGCTGGGTTCGCCTCGAAGCCGTGCTTTTGTGACAGCGTCGTGCCACCTCGGCACGGTGGCAGCGCTGGCTCGGGCGCTCAAGGCTGAAGCCCCCTCGCAGAGGAGCCTGCCAGTCCGTCGGGTGAGCATCCAACGCTAAGTGCTCTCGTGAGGCCACCAGCGCCTCGGCGGCACATGTGGGGCGGCCAGGAGGTGGTCAGTGTGTGTTGTGTGTTGTGGTGCGTGGTGGTGTGGGGTGTCTGGTGTGTGATGTGTGTGTGTTGTGTGTTGTGTGTTGTGTGTTTGTGTGTTTGTGTGTGTTGTGTGCTGTGTGTATTGTGTGTTGTGTGTTGTGTGTTGTGTTGTGTGTATGTGTTGTGTGTGGGTGTGTTATGTAATGTGTGTTGCGTGTTTCGTGTGTTGTGAGTCTATGTGTGTTGCGTATAGTGTGTTGTGCGTTGTGTGTTATGCGTTGCGTGTGTGGGTGTGTGGGTATGTTGTGTGTTGTGTGTTGTGTGTTGTGTGGGTGGGTAAGTGTGGGGGGGCGCGTGCGTGCGCGCGTGCGCGCAAGCGTGCAAGCATGCAAGCGTGCAAGCGCGCGTGCGTGTGTGTGTGTGTAAGAGAGTTGTGTGCTGTGTGTTGTGTGTGCTGTGTGTGGTGTGTGGTGTGTGTATTGTGTGTTCTGTGTGTGTTGCGTGTATGTGTTGTGTGTTGGGTGTGTTGTGTGTGTTGTGTGCTGTGTCTGTTGTGTGCTGTGTGTTGTGTGTGTGGTGTGTGTGTGTGTTGTGTGTTGTGTGTTGTGCGTGAGAGAGAGAGCATGTGTGTGCGTGCGTGTGCCGGTGTGTGTGTGTGTGCGGGTGTGTATGTGTGTGTGTGTTTGAGCCGCCGCCCACGACAATCAATTTAGACTGAATCAATGGTTTGGCATCATGCATACCACGTGATATTTAACAGCTTGTACCAAGTTGTTGCTTGACACAGGTACGGTCGATGTGTCGTCCGATTCGCTCGATCAGATGTGCACGTGTTTTAAGGCTGTTCTTTCGATGGGGCATCGAAAAACAGAATGGCACTGTGACTAAGTGTCTCCCATAAGTTCGGCCCTGAACGTGATGCCGGAACGGCGAGGAATTTCCATGGGCATCGTCGTGAGTCCAAGCCAGAATCCGTCTGGTGATCGGTACCTGAGCATGCCGTGGTGCTTGGCTCCAGCTGGTGCTCTGGGTCCGTGGCTTTCAGGTCTTCGCGGACGAAGCCCTTGCTGGTATCCATGTTCATGCCGTCGAGCCGAACGCATACGCTTGACATACTCACCAGAGACCGTGATGTCAACGAAGA